GCAGACCACACCCCTAAAGCAACTACCCAGCTGCTCCAATAGATTCCAACAAACTCACTGCTGTTGGGTTGGTTCCAACTCATAGTGACCCCTCCTTGGGTTTCCAAGGTGGTATCTCTATGGAAGTAGATTGCCAGTCTTCCTGCAGAGGAGCGACTGGTAGGTTTGAACCATCAGCCTTCTGGTTAAAAGTCAAATGCCTTAGGCATTATACCACCAGAGCTCCGACTAGTAGATTCCACCATGGAGTTAATTACCAGTCTCATCATGGGGAATAACTACATCCAGCTGCCCAGCCACTGAACCAGACCCAGCCAAGTTGACATAGAACCTTAACTACCACAGTTGTCAAATAGTTCCAAATCCACTTAACTCAACTTTCTTCATGTATTCCACTTTCTCCCTAAGTCTATCATGAGAAAAATTTTATCAGATTCTACGCTGAAATCAAGACACATTATTTGGGTATTTTGCCCTTGCTTTACTGATGTAGGCTCTCTACTAGAAAAGGAAATGAAAGGGCTCAGAGTGAGCATTTGATACTCCATAATTTTGGGATAATACGAACCAACCAAACTAAAAACCACACCAGTGCTGTCCAGTCAATTCTGACTCATGGCGTCCCCATGTGTTTCAGAAAAGAACAGCATCCATAGGGTTTTCAGTAGCTGTGAACTTTCTGTGGCTCTGATCTTTCAGGAATACATTGCTAGGTCTTTCTTCCCAAGTATCTCTGGGTGAATTCAAACTGTCAACCTTTCACTTAGCAGCTGAGCTACTTAACCAATTTCATAATAAGAACCAAATGCCTGCATACTTGATTTTTTTTTAGCTTTAATTCAAATGTAGAGCCATCATTATTTTAGTCACTTCTGAAAATATGACAAGAAAATATATTAGTTGGACTCTTTAGCTAGGTATTTGAGTTTTTTTTTTTAATTTTATTTTGATTTGGGTGAAGATTTACAGCGTAAATTCATTTTTCATACAGCAGTTCACATATACTTTGTCTCATGTCATTGACCAAAATTTACAATGCAACAGCTCCCCCTCCCCATAGTTACCTCTTCCCAGTGTCCATCCCTCCATACTCTCCTGCCCCCCTGAGCTGTTTCCCTGTGCATAAGCAGCCCTTCCTTCTCCCATGATTGTTCTCTCCAGGGCGTGTGTCTATTTGAGGTAAATGTTTAACTCAAATGCCTGTGCTTTGTTTGGCTGGAAACCACAGGTGTGGGTTCAATTCCAGACCTGAAGGATAGCTAGGGGCCACAGTCTCAGTGGTTCCACCAGGCTCTATTGGACCAGAAAACCTGGTCCCCACCTTCTTCTTCTTTTTTTTTTTTTTTGCCTCCAAATGATTTTGAGTTTTGTACCACATTGTTCTCCCTCTCTATCCAGGATCTCCTACATCCCTTCCAAGTAGATGACAGTGGTAGCCAGGCACCATCTAGTTCTTCTGGTCTCATAGTTGTATAGGTTGCAGATCGGATGGTGTACCAGTCACTAGGACTGATTGTTTCCATTAATTTTGGTTTTCTTCTTTCTTCTTGACGAGGAGAGACCATCGTTGCATCTAGATGGCAGCTTGCTAGCTTTTAAGATCCCAGTCGCTACTCGCCAAAGTAGGAGGTGGAACAATGTTTTGTATAGTATGTTATGCCAATTGAGCTTGATGTTCCCTGCAACTATGGTCCCAAGCCCGCAGGATCAACTATTTGGTCCCTCTGGGTAGCTGGCTGTGACCAAGCAATGACCATAACCTTGCCCCTTGTCGGCTCTACTATACACCTGGGAATTCTGATCATTCACATAAACTTATAGGACCATTGTCTGCCAACCCTATATATGATCTTGGATACACTCCCCATTTAGACATACCTAATTGTTTAGCCTGTCCACCTATCTATCCATCCATATACCCATGTTTGCCTTCACTGACAACTCAGCACTGTATATGCAAAAGGGTTCATATTTGTTGTCTGTACTTCTCATGGACCTCTCTATGTCTTTCTCATCCTCAATGCTGCCATATTGGTCACTCAATTTGGTACATTGCCCTTCTCTTCACCCAAATCAATATTTATCTCTATCTATCTAACAGCGTTCCCTTCCCTCCCCTCCCACTCCTGGTAACCAACAAAGAAAATTTCCTCCAATAGATAAACCTTTCCTTAACTTTTACAATAACAGACTAATACAATATTTGTCCTTTTGTGATTGACTTATTTCACTCAGCATAATGTCCTCCAAGTTCATCCACATTATGCGGTGTTTTGCAGATTCTACATTATTCTTAGGAGCTCTGGTAGCATAGTGCCTAAGGCACTTGACTGCTAACCAGAAGGCTGGCGGTTCAAACCCACCAGCCACTCCTCAGAAGGAAGGTTGGGCAATCCTACTTCCGTAGTGATACTGCCTTGGAAACCCAAGGAGGGGTCGCTATGAGTTGGGGCCGACTCGACGGCAAATAACAACAACAACAACGTTATTCTTTAGTGTTGCATAGTATTCCATTGTGTGTATGTACCATAGTTTGGTTACCCATTCCTCAGTTGATGGACATCTAGGTTGTTTCCATGTTTTGGCTATTGTAAATAGTGCTGCGAGGTATTTGAGTTTCTTGAAGATGATTGGAAACTGTCAGCCAACTACCAGGTCTGCCTTCAGACCCTACATAAAAGACCCATTTCTCAGAGAGCGAGAATGGTTATAATAATGTAATAATAGTTAACCCTTGAATGGTGCTTGGAGTGTGGATGTTTTGAGGCCTGGGCTTACGAGATCATGCTTTATTGGCCAGAGCTAAACACGTGGTCCCAGCAAGGGGGCTGGAAGATTTAGTCTTCCTGTTTGGCTGGGAGAAAAATGAAATGGTGTTGGATTGTCTCTGCCAAAATATGCCTTTTAAAGATTAAAGTAAGAGAGAATAAACCATGTTAAATCTTACCTGGACAATTCAGAAATCAGCATCTCGGTAATAAAACCACTGCTGTTTCTTTCATATTTCAAACTGATAGGAAATTCACACCCAGGGGGTTGCTTGGAAAAAAAATACATCGTAAAGTGTGATTTGAACTAGTTCAGGACTAGTTCAGGACATGTTGTCTAGTACATTTTGCTGCACTTCGACGTATGTACTGATGGAAGGGAGCAAACAGCATTCATCCAGGTTTTAAGGTAAGAGAAGATAGTTTCACAGAAGAACTCACACTCCAGGGGCACAGAAGTGGGAGAAACACCTGGAGGATGAACAAGCACCAGTAGAGGGTGCTGACGTGGCACACAATTAAGATTTTAAAAAGAGGAGGTCTCAGATGGCAGGTGCGAGAGAAAGTGTACTAACTGCTCTGATCCACTGGGAGGGAAGAAGTCACTAAGTGCCCGGCTGCAGGCACACCCGTCTGGGTATCAGTGACTTCCCGAAATGGCCATATGGATACTAGGCATCCCCTAAGGCATGAGCGCCTGGCATTTGCTCCTGTTAGAACAGGACTGGGAGGGCTGGGCAGATTGCCTCGCTTTCCCCTGGGACACTTTCAGCAGCCCTGGCTGTTTTTTAATGGCACCCATTTGTATGGGCTCATGTTCTCACTTTGCTTTCTTATTTGCCTATGTTTTCCAAAAACGATTTTTGTGTTCCCTAACGAAAAAAATGTACCCAAACTGTCAATCCAAGGGAGTACCATTTTCCTTTTTCAACCTGAGCACCTTAAAACAAGGTCACAAGTACCTGCGCTCCTATATAAACATAGCAGAGGATGGGAAGGTTGCATAGGAGGAGATGAGGCTGCATGCGTTTTAACCGCCAGAACTTGACCTTGGTGTTTGCTTCCTGAGCCAGCCTAACTAGGCCGTCTGGAAGAGCTCCCCCCGAAGTAGGTCACGGTGCATGCTCTCACGCAGAGCGCTGTAGTCCCTCCTGCCCTTCAGAACTGTTCTTCCAGGAGTTCTGAAGCTGTTCTAGTCTGGGAATCAACTGACCCACTGGGTGCCAGTCCAGCCTGTCTGGGCCTCAGTTTCCTCCTCTGGTCAACGACAGGGCTGGACACGGTGTCCTCGCGGCCTCTTCCACCTCTCGACCGCCATAGTCACGCATTTCTCGCTGGCGCGGCCGGCTCCGCCCTGAGGCAGGGCACGCGAGAATAGAGCCTCCTCGGTCAGCACCAAGGACAGAGCTTCAGGGCGCGCACAGCCGACGCAAGGTCCTTTCCTAGCGCGCCCGGAGGCGGGGCGGTGGCTGGGCCGGGACTACAGGGTGGCCGAGAGAGCCCTGTGGGCGCAGGAAGGGCCGTGGGAGGGGGCCCGGGCCCCAGCGAGGAGGTACGGCCGGGCCCGCGGCGGTCTCAGGGACGCTGCGCCAGGAGGCTGCCCCTCCCCGGGCCCCGCGCGCCCCCGCAGCCCCTGCCCGGCCGGTGGGGGGCGCCCCTGCTGCGTCCTCCCGGAGCCAGTGAAGTTCTTTCTCCCGCCTGCGCGACCCTCCATCCCCTTTCCCGCCGAACTGCTCCCTGACCCGCGCCCCACCGCTGCCTCCGGGGTCCTTATTGACGCACCCGGGACGGGGAACCAAGCTCCCACCCCTTAGAGCCGCCTCCACCTTCGCCTTCTTGCTCCTCCTGTCCCACCTCCCTGCGGGAGAAGGGTCTCCACGCCCCTTCCCCTGGGGCAGGGCGGCGTGGAAGGGCGTCCGTGGCGGTCAGGGGGGGAGAACAGCGGAGGCGTCCATGGTCCCGCCGGCAGCAGTCTAGGACCCCGGCCCCACAGCTGCCCCGCCCCCTGTGGCCCCACCCCCGGTGACCCCGCCCCCCAGGCCCCGCCCACCGTTGCCCGGGGAACATCGGATCGGCAGCTGCAGGAGGCTCCTGGCCCGCCCAGCAGCCCGCGCCGCCGCCGCGCCCAGCTCAGCTCCGCATCCGGCTCCCGTTCCGAGCCCGCGCCGCCCGGCCATGCCGCCCCGCCGCGCCCGGGATCCCCAGCACCCCCTCACAGCCGCTGAGCCGCTGATGCCCGGGCCGGCCCTGCTACTACTGCTGCTGCTCGGCCCCGGCTGCCTGGCCGGCCCGGTGCCCGCCGCGCCCCAGCCTGCTCCGGGGCCGTGCGCCGCGCAGCCCTGCCGGAACGGGGGCGTGTGCACCCCGGCCGAGGCCGGCCAGCCCGGCTACGGCTGTACCTGCCCCTCCGGGGTCTCGGGCGCCAACTGCCAGGTGAGTTGCGGCGGCGCAGCGCGGGCCTGAGACCCGTAGCTTGTCCTCGCCGGCTGCTGCGCGCTGCCGGTTGCTGGGCGCCCGCGTGCCTGGCCCTGGCTTCTCCTCTGTAGCGAGCGGGCTGGATCCGGGCTCTCGGTCCGCGTGGACGCGGATTCCCTGGCCGACTCTGCAGGTGTCACTCCCCTGTCCACCATGGTCCTCGGGCGGTGCCAACTTGGGGCTCTCTGGGCGCGCGCTCCAGGGCCTGGCAGCCACCCGTGTCCCGGTCCTGTTGGCACGATCGCTGGCCACCGAGTGGCGCACGCTTTCGACCCGGCGCAGCCACGCTGGGATAGAGCGCGGTCTCTGTGCCCTCCCCGAGCGTCCAGGTGGCCCGTGCTCCGCGTCCCCCTGGTCCTTGCGCATCGCCAGGGTGCACCGTGTGGGAGGCAGGGGATGGCGGACCCCGGGCCAGGTGGTCAGGCACTTTCTTCCTTTCCTGATCCTTGAGGGCTCTGGCAGGAAGAATGCCTTCCTCCCTGCGGCCTACAGTCAGCCTTTTCTGGGCTCTGGAGGGTGTGTTGGGACAGTCGGAGGACTTGAGGGGGTCGTGGCACATGTGTCGTCCCCCCCCCCCCCCGGTTGGCCGGCTCCGGAGGAACACGCCTGGGACCGGCAAGCTGGGCGCGAACACGGCGCAGGGAAGCCTGGAGGAGGCGTTTGGCCGTGGGAGCGAAAGGAGATGGTTCGCGGCCGCCCGTGGGTTTGGGATTTCCAGGAGCTTTAGGCAGAAGGCACTAAATGAGATTGGAGTATAAGTGTGTTAAAGGTTAGTGAAATTTCCTAACCTACGAACATGGGCATTTTCAGTAGACGGTTAGGTTACCCTGTATGCTCAGGGACAACAACCTGAAGCCGCTATACCAGAGCCGGGGCCAATAGTGAACTTGTCTGAAATAACTAAACGAAACCACGAGAGTGTGGGGCATGTGTGGGATCGTTTTCTTTCTTATGTTCAGACGGAGTTGTTTGGTATAAATGTGATAAAAATCCTTGAAGAACTCCTCTTGAGAATGGTCAAAAACTCAGTGGGAGAAAACGCTGTCGTTTATGTAGGGTTGGCTTTCATATTTTTTTTCCTAGAGGTGAATGAGATGGAGAAGCTTGACCTTACCAGCCACGCCTTTTTTTTTTTTTTTTTTAAATTAGGATTTGGGTGAAGATTTACAGAGTAAATTCACTTTTCATACAGCAGTTCACATATACTTTGTCTCATGTCATTGACCAAAATTTACAATGCAGCAGCTCTCCTCCCACTTCCTCCCCATAGTTACCTCCTCCCAGTGTCCATCCCTTCATACTCTTCTGCACCCTGAGCTGTCTCCCTGTGCATAAGCAGCCCTTCCTTCTCCCATGATTGTTCTCTCCAGGACCAGCCACGACTTTTGTTATGACTCGTATTTTTTTTTCTTTAATAGCAAAGAGGCAACCTGAATTCATCTTTTCTATGTTGTCCTCCTTTTGTTAGCTAGCTTCCATAAGCTTTAGTTTCCTCAAAGGAGATGACTGTGGGGTGGGGTGTGTGTGTGTGTGTGTGACACACACACACACACACGGAGGGAGGGAGGAAGGGAGGGGGCGAGAGCAAGTTTGAGGAAATACCTGTTGGAACCATTCTAACCAGTCACACAAAATCTTGCTTTAAAAACAACAATAACAACAAAAAAAAACTTCAAATGAAAATCCGAAGAGTGGCTTCATACTAATTTGCTTGGTTGATCGATGATTTATATGGCTTGTGAAGAAATGAGTTGTCTTGATGCTGCTATCAAATTGTGGTTACACTTGTGTGTCTGACTTCCATTTTAGAAAGAGATGGTTTGGCCCCAGGGTATGGTGGGGATGGCGAGAGAAGGTGGGTCAGAGTGCTTCTCAGTTTAAGGAAGTGGGAAGAAAGACTGGACACTGGGAATTCATCTCAACTCTGAGATATTTTTAGTGACTCTAAAAATGGCTGCAAGAAATCTTGAAGCAGGGGAAGGAGGTCTTGAGTACTCCTGAAAGATGACTCTCAGGGAAGCTTACATGTTCTGAGTTGTCCTAAGTCACCATTTGATTTATAATATATCCAGAAAACGGTCCTGAACTAACACATGAACAGAACGGAGTGGTTCTCCACAGACTCACGTTTCCTAGCTGGCTCCCATCTGAGGCAGGATCAGCCATCTGAAGACTCCCCACCTGAGGAGAAAGCAGCACTAGGCACTCTGAATTCTGAATTGAAAAGAGAGCTGAAGTTGCTGTAATTCTAACAGAAAAGCTTAGCACATTTGGAACCTGATCAGGCTTGGTTACCCAGGAGAACTTACGGAGATGATTCAGAGCCTTATAACCCATAAAAAAATTGATTCTTGATGATTTCAGTGTAATCTTTTGTTATCTTGCAGTTAAGACTTGAGACTCATTTTCTCTGAGGAAAAAAAAAAGAAAAAAGAAAAAAGAAAAAGCAATCCCAACAGAGAAATTACTCAGATGGGAAAAAACCACCCAATTACAGATAAAGAAAATGAATGTAAGCCATTGCAGACAGTGTGGTTGCTGAAATAAGACCTAATGCTCACGGGGTCCATTGACAATGGGATTTTATCTCTGTGTGAGGAGAGTTCATTAAACAGAGTGTCTCTTCCTATTCCAGCTACAAAGACAATAGTGTTAGCAACGGAAGCACCAGGACATGGCCCTGAAGTTTCCTTTCCTTGTGTGGAGAATTCTAAGGAAATACAAATGGGCAATCGGGATTCAGTGGATGAAGGTGCCTTTGACGTTTGGGGGTTGGCTGGTTGACGCTGGGCAGGCCCACAGAGTTGAGGCAAGGTTTCTTGTGTCGCCTGAGTGAAGGGCTTCCTGGTCCTCACAGCGTGTGGGGACTCTGGTGGGTGAAGGAGGGCACGTAGGTTCTGAAGTTGACTGGCTCAGGTTCAATCTGCTGTGACAGGTGATTTAAACCAACTGGGTCTTGATTGCCTCATCTTTGAGAATGAGATTTACCTGACTCCATTTTTTTGATGTTTGACTGCTGACAGCTTTTAAGCCTCACTCCTTCCTTTTGGTGCAGCAAGGTGGATTTGAACCGCCAACCTTTAGGTGGGTCATCAGGGGTAAACCCTTTGTGCCTCTCAGGGTCATTGTCCTATATCTACACAGGCTGTTAACAAAGCCCAGGTGCCCCCTCCTTTGGCACCAAAGGGAGGTTCACACAGCAGGAGCCCTTGCCTTGACCCCCCAACCCCATCCGTAACTGCAGCAAACTCCCAGGCCAGTCCTTTCTCTGCTCTCTCAAGCCGTTTTTGGACCTTTTTCTGAAATAGGACTGGATGTTCCCTGGATAAATTGAAAATGGAGTTTTACCTATATGTGAAGAAAATCTCTCAGCTCTCTCCCAGAAAGGCTCATTATATGAGCAATCAACCTTTCTCATACTCTCTTGGGGGACTGTGCATGAGAGAGACAGAGGCAGAGACATTGAGACATCACTGGGCTTGATAGTTGGGCTAAAATTTTAGTTGGATGTCTGTGGCATCTTGGCCAGGCCTGGTTTTGAGTGATTGGACAGCTGAATGTAGTCATTCCCCATGATGAGACTGGTCATCAACTCCGTGGTGAAATCTACTGGAGCACCTGAGTAGCTGCCTCAGGGATGCAGTCTGCTTCCAGCACATAAGATGACAGCTTTGAGAAAGGTCTGAGCTTTTTGGCACGTTTGGACCCTGTGTGTAGCCAAGTCTTCATTCAGCAGCAGCCATGTTGTCAGCTGATCTTGGGACTCTTCATGAACTTGAATCAATGACCTGCTGTGTGGTTTAGTAGTATTGGGACTGTGCCCTTTTACTAGTTAACCTTGGGTTTGTTGGCCTCAGCAGCTGGCAGCTGAGTGAAGGAAGCCTCCAGCTTCAGTGGGCCAGGAGCAAGAGGCAGAGCTGAAGCCCAAGGTTGAGGGGCTTTCACCCAGCCGCTAGAGTTTGGGACTTTGAACTTTGACCCTTACAGCCTCCAAAACTGTCAGAAATAAATCTCCATTTGTTCAAGCCATCCTGTTTGTGGTATTTCTGTTAGACTGGCACAAGAGGGCCCAAACAGCATCCATTCTGATTCTTCAGGATTCTCACCCCAGGGTTTTTGGGAGGATTCAAGTCATCAGGTGCTCTGAGTCACTGAGCTCCTGTGGGGCCCCGTGCTGTCACTCTTTGCCTCTTCCCCTCCCTGTCTTCCTTCCTGCCTTCTCTCCTTCCCTCTCTTTTTCCCTCCCTCCCTCCTGTTCATTTCTTTGTTTCTCTCTCTCTCCTCCCCTCTCTCCCTTTAAACTTTCTGCACACATCTCCATCTTTGTGTGCTTATGGTCCTAACTGGTGAGGTAGATGGGATACGTATCATCATCTCCTTTGGTCAGATGTAGAAACTGAGGCTCGTTTTGATAGCATGACTAATCCAGGGTCTCTCATTTTGAAATTACCTCTACAGTCACGTAACACTTCCAATGTGTTTTCTAAATGTCTTAAGCTTTTTTTTTTTGAACATTTTAAATCACGAGCAATTCAATGGATACTAAAATTGTATATGGAGAGCTAATTTACAGAGGTGTGATGAGGGGATCTACTCCTTCCCTGAGCACTTATCAAGGACCAGCACTATCCCAGTGTAGATACTTACACATATCTCCCTCCAGTCCTCTCAGTGTCTCTGGTAGTTAAGGTAGTGTGTCGTCTTGGCTGGGCTGTGATTTTGAGTGGCTTGGCAGCTGGATGTGGTTATTCCCCATGATGAGACTAGATGTGGTATAACCACCTTCATGGTGGAATCTGCTGTGAGTAGTGAATCAGTTGAAGGGGAGTTGCTTTCAGGGTGTGGTCTGTTTCCCGTGTATGTGGAGAAGCTTTGGGAAAGATCTCTGGCCTTGCTTATTTTGGATCCTGCACCTGGCCCACCAGCATCTCCAGTTCCTGGACTGGAACCAGTGGCCT